CGGTCTGTGGTTAACCACAGCCTAATTGATGGTCCCAGGGCATTCCCGCTCGTGCACCATTTCTCAAACTAAAACTACCGAAAGACTCACGAATGAGGACCACCTACATCCTGGCGTGTGGCCTCAATTAGAATGTTGGTTTTGCGGTTAACCTCAGGTTAAGTACCCCTTCCCGGTGGTCTCCGTTCGTTTCCCGAACGGCTGGGACAACCATGAGAGCGGGGATTTGTGTAAATCCTTGACCGCCACTCGTTCCATGAGTTTGGGGTCGAGGTCCCGCTGCCCATTGACCAACCTGAAAACATCGCCGCCGTCTCATGTTCAGGACAAAAGACACGAACAGACTTTATATTGATGAGACTAGCCATACTGTTCGTGTGTTCTGAGCGCTATTCGACTATCTGCTGCGCTCAGATCTGGGCTACATAATGTACGGTAGAAAGCACAAATTGTCTATTAAAATGTTAAAGTTATGTATTTTCATACTGTTTTGTATGTTGCAAGAAAACGTGGGATTTTGGGCGCTTGGAGATAATTACATTGTCATAACTGTTGTATTAATTCTCTCCAAGCTGGGCGGTAACAATTTCAAAAGATACATTGTGTTTCTATTGGTTAACTGCTTGCATTGTACCTGTACCCATCAGGTCCAGAGGGGGCTGTCCCTGGACCTGAGGTTTTGCATAAATAGTGATAACTGTGTGCCATTAAAGCCAGTTTTTTCTTGACCCTCAAATCGCAGCCTCGAATCGTTTTGTGGGGAAAAGGGTATCCTAGCTGTACCACAGCTAGTGGGATTATTCTACATTTACAGGATTCTCATGGTATATTGACTGGAGCGGCTCTTCTCTCTCTCTACACCTGGGAACCAGACTATCCAAACGGTCCAGCTTCCAGCTAGCCTGGTAACCGTAACAACCCCCATGGAGGAATACCTAGGACACCTTCACAAAGCTGACCCAGTATATGCAGCCTCTGACAACCGCCAGCACCATAGGCTGAAGGTATGGCTCGAGGGTCACTCCACGGAAGGGCTAAGGGACACTGGTGCCATGATTACTTTGGTTCAAAGCCACCTAGATCCAGAATATAAGAGATCAGGTCAAACTGTGGCCATTCGAGTAGCGTAAGGGGATGTGTACAAGATACCTACCGCTAAATAATCGGAAACTTAATGACAAGACTGTGACTGACGCCTACCCAATGCCCAGAGTAGATGACCTACTCGATCGTATCACCAGGGGAAATTACTTAACCACCATTGACCTCTGTAAGGGTTACTGGAAAATTCCCAGGCCAGTGAGGCTATCCCCAAGTCGGCATTAGTCACCTCGTTCGGCTTGTACCAGTTTAAGGTTATGCCGTTCAGGATGAAGAATGCCTCAGCTACATTCCAGCGCTTGATGGATAGACTTCTTGATGGCTTCCAGGATATTGCCTGTGCATACCTGGATGACATAGTGATCCACAGTGAGTCCTTAGCTCATGTAGGAATGGTACTGGATCAGGTTCGGACCACTGGCCTGACACTGAAGCCAGAAAAATGCCATTTTGGAATGGCCGAGGTTCAGTACCTGGGTCACCGGGTGGGGTGTGGAAAGCAGCGGCCAGAGCCAGCCAAAATAGAGGCAGTTGCAAATTGGCACACACCTCGCACCAAGACCCAGTTCCTAGCCTTCCTGGGCACTGCTGTGTACTGCAGGTGATTTATACAAGACTACAGTTCTGTTGCCAAACCTCTGACTGACCTGACGAAGAAAAACATTCCCCGATAGATCCTGTGGTCTCCCCACTGTGAGACAGCTGTTCAGGCTCTCAAAAACACACTGGTTAATGCTCCTGTCATGGCTGCCCTAGCCCCTAACAAACGCTTTATCGTTCATACAGACGCCTCCATGTTCAGGCTGGGGGCAGTCCTCAGCCAAGTAGGAGAAGACAAAGCATCATGTTGCCTACATCAGCTGAACGCTCCTGCCATGAGAGGTCAGCTATACCACAGTGGAAAAGGAGTGTTTGGCCCTGGTGTGGACGTTAAAGAAACTGACTGGCCTTAGTCTGCCAGAGTGTTCCACAAGGAGGGAGCCATGCTACAGAGATCTCCCTCTTTCTGATACAATACAGATACTTTTGTTTTTACATGGATACTTTTATAAACTAATAGCCGAACACCCAGCCGTTGTCATGTGCCGCCAATTAACCCCGGTCACCCTTTAAAATACCGAATTAACCAACGAATGGCCGACCACCCTACTCGAGGAGTGTGCCAACAATCAACCTCCTAGGAGCTGTGGTTTACCGCAGCCTAATTGACTGGCATCATTGTAGTCGCCGTGCGAATGCCGAACACGAGGCGGTGGCCATCTTTTGTCATTGAACGAATCCCGCTGAGGTATCGGTTGTCCCATCCATTCGGGCAAAGAGACACGAAAGTCATATAGCCAGACTTTATTTCTGTGACTTTCATACATCATTCGTGAGATCTGAGCGCAGTTCGTATATTTTGTGCGCTCAGATCCAAGCTGTCTGGAGATGGGTCGAATGGAATATTGCAGTAATGTAATGTGAAAGTTATGTATTTTATGCTGGTTCGTGTGTTGAATAAAACGTGGATATTTTCATGTACCTGGAGATAATTGAGTTATTGTAACCGTTTAGACCAATTATCTCCAGGGTAGGGGGGAGTGTTTCATAAAATGCACTTTGCTCTTATTGGTTGGGATATTGCATTGTCCAGTGTACCATCAGGTCCAGGGGGGTTGCCCTCTGCCCTGAAAACTTGCATAAGTACCCATTAAACCAGTTAGTTTTACCCTCAACTCGCAGCCTCGACTCGTGTTGTAGGGAAAGGTTTACACTAGCTTTGCTCATGGCTAGTGGGGAATTTCTACATTTCCAGGAATACTACGGTATGCTGATCGAAGATATTGTCTGGGACAGAGAAAAGCTGTATGTAGTGAGTGTAGAAGAGGAAAAAAAAAAAAAAAGTCAGCATTACCTTAACTAATTTCATATTCAGCCAGTCCACACAGGTTTTGTTCCCATACATCCCTCTTAAGTTTCCATACTTAAGCAAGAGTATGTGAAAAGTAGTTAGGGTTGTCATCTTTCTTGGAAAAACATAACTGCCTTGCTAATTTGCATAATTATGTAAGGGTGACATCACATGATGTAAATCACAAGGAGTGACAAGAGAAAATGCTGTAAAATTACCAAAAAACTACTTAGTTTGATTCTGCTTTATAGATGGATTGCTCCTAGTGTCTCATGTCTCCCAGCGTCCCCATGTCTCACAGTGCCCTCATGACTCAGTGTCCCCAGGTTTCAGTGTCTCAGAGCCCCATTTCTCCCAGTGTCCCCTAGTATCACGGTGTCTCAATGCCCCATGTCTCCCCGTTTCCCCCAGTATTCCCATGTGTCCATGTTCCCATGTCTCCCAGGGTCCCCATGTCACTGGGGACACAGGGATACTTGGGGACACTGAAACACCAGGGCCACTGGCTGGGAGACGTGGACACTGTGTCCCCATGCCCCAGTGTCCCTAAGTGTCTGTCATAATGTCTCCCAATGTTCCTTAGAGTCTGTGTCCCCATGTCTCCTTGCAGCCTTTCTCCCTCTCCCATCCTTCACTTCCCTGAGCTGTATGCTGTCTCTGCAGGGTGGGAGTTGCTGTCTGGCAGGGGAGCAGCTACAGAGAGATAGGCAGGGAGGTATATTGTGGAACTTCCCATCCCTGCCTCTCTCCACACACAGCAACCCCTACTGGCCAGTGCTGGTATTGTAATCCCTGTTTATACTAAGGAAAATACCAATAGTTGTATTGCCAGTATGGCTGCAAGATCAGCACCAGCCAGGCAGCCTCAAATACCGGCTGTGCCAATAAAATACCAGCCAGGTGGAAACCCTAAGTAGTACTGTAGTAGAGTAGTGTGTAGAAAAAAAAAAAAAAATCTAATTAAATCAATGGGCCTATTCCATGGGCCTGGAGCTGAAGCTCCATCAGCCCCTATGTTAATCCGGCCTTGGTCACTTCTATTGTTGACACCTTGCTGGTATACAGTTACCAGGTACCAATGCGTATTGGTATTTGTGGGCTACATTATATGGACTGTGTGCTTTGTTGTGTTCGGTACCATTGTCTCCATCATGCTCGTGTTGTTTGAAGTGAATCCAGTGCTATTTGAATCACACTAATAGTTTAATTATGCTTTTGCCATTTTAAGAGGTGGAAGCACTATTCAGATTATTCTTTTATGTGTTAGTTACGTGCAGTATAGGTGGCAATTGATTTGGGTTTACATTTTATCCATAAATATTGGATTATTGTCATGAGAGATTATATATATATATACACACACACACACACACACACGTTTCTCCCCATGTGCATGTTCTTATCTCCTGGGCTACGCTCTGCCTGTTAAGCTATAGCACAATTTCAAACTAGAACACATATCTAGCCTTTTATAGATCATTTGGAACCGTAAAGGGACCTGGGCACAGTAACCCCTTAATCTCAATATAGTGCTATAGTGTTTAATCCCCTGGCACGGTCCTTCCATTCAATGATAAATGAGAGTCCCCAGCAGCCCATCCCCCTCTGTACGGTTTGGACTAAGAAAGCAGCAATGGGTGGCTGAGTGTATCTGCTGACAGCTTCCAGCCAATCAGTGCCCATTGTATAAATTGATACGGCTAGAAGGAAGTGTGCAATCTCTGCCTTGGCCACACCTACAGTGGGGGCCAGGCATCCACATTCAGTATTAAACTGTTAAAATGGTTTAACAATGAATGGAGGGACAGAACCAGGGGACTCCAGGCACTATAACCACTTCAATAAAAATATAGTACCTAGTGTCCCTTTAAATTTATGTAAATTGTTCTATAGAGGCTTCTGGATTAAGTGACTCAATGTTCTGCTCCATAGTGATCATATTAAGGTGATTTAAAGCAACTCAATATGCCTACAAAGATAGATTAAAAAAAAACACACAACCACTAGACACCAATGAAACATTAGAGAATTTATTACAGCTCAATAACAGTTGTCAGGAAGGAAGATATCGTTTACTGGAAGCATTAGAGGTCCAGCTCTATAGTCAATAATGTGGACAGTCTCAGAAATGAGCATAGTCCTAGTGTATTGAAGGGGGATACGCTTAAACCAGGAGACATTCCTGTAAAAGAAGAGAGATCAGAATCCAGTATTAAAATCCATGGTTTTATTAAACACAGGTCTCAAATTATCAGTCTCTGTAACAGGATATTTTAGCAGTATGTATTCTTTGTTTAAAGTCTACCAACGTGGGATCCTTGGGGATGGTCACACAGCAGTAATTTCTGACATCTAGGGGGGAGATTTTTCAAAGTGCAATTAACAGTCATGTCTGTTTTTAGGCACAATTAAACAGTCTGCCCAATATTTTGAAACTGGCCTGCTCTTAAGTCTAGGATAGCCTTATACCTATCCCATGCATGCTTAACCTCTACCACTTCAGCTGGAAGGCTATTCCATGCATCAACTACCCTCTCAGTAAAGTAATACTTTCTGATATTATTTTTAAACCTTTGTCCCTCCAATTTAAAAAAAATAAAAAAATAAATAAAAAAAAGGGACCACTATAGTGCCAGGAAAACACTTTACTGGCACTATAGCCCCCACCCTCAGGGTGGGCCTGAAGGGGGAAGAAGGGGTTAATCACTTACCCCTTTTTCCCCCCAGCGCCGGTCTTCCTCGGCGCTGGACTCTCCTCCCTCTTCTTCAGGTCATTGGCTGAATGCGCATCCGCAGCAAGAGCTGCGTGTGCATTCAGCCAGTCTCATAGGTATGCTTTCCTATGGATGCAAGCGTCGTCCCTAGAGGCTGGATTAACCCATAGGTTAACATAGCAGTTTCAGAGAAACTGCTATGTTTACTGCAAAAGGGTTAAACCTAGCTGGACCTGGCACCCAGACCACTTCATTAAGCTTAAGTGGTCTGGGTGCCTAGAGTGGTTCTTTAAGACTATGTCCTCTTTTTGTGGTAGTTTCTTCTTTTAAATATAGTCTCCTCCTTTACTGTGTTGATTCCCTTTATATATTTAAATGTTTCTATCATATCCCCCCTGTCTCGTCTTTCCTCCAAGCTATACATGTTAAGATCCTTTAACCTTTCCTGGTAAGTTTTATCCCGCAATCCATGAACCAGTTTAGTAGCCCTTCTCTGAACCCTCTCTAAGGTATCAATATCCTTCTGAAGATACGGTCTCCAGTACTGTGTACAATACTCCAAGTGAGGTCTCACCAGTGTTCTGTACAATGGCATGTGCACTTCCCTCTTTCTACTGCTAATACCTCTCCCTATACAACCAAACATTCTGCTAGCATTTCCTGCTGCTCTATTACATTGTCTGCCTACCTTTAAGGCATCAGAAATAATCACCCCTAAATCCCTTTCCTCATATGTTGAGGTTAGGACTCTATCAAATATTCTGTACTCTGCCCTTGGGTTTTTACATCCAAGATGCATTATCTTGCACTTATCCACAATAAATGTCAGTTGCCACATCTAGTTTACCTAAATCATTTGCCATTTGGATTATCCCTCCTGGAACATCAACCCTGTTACAGATCTTAGTGTCATCAGCAAAAAGATATACCTTACTATCAAGAATAAAAATATTAAAGAAAATGGGTCCAAGTACAGATCCCTGAGGGATCCCACTGGTAACTAGACCTTTCTTAAAAATTATTTTTTGATGCAAGTCAAAGTGTCAGATCTGTTGCATTGTATATATATAAAAAGCCACTACACTTTAGGATTTAAAGGTGTTTTTTTTTTGTATAGAGTATGCTCATTGCTCAATTATCTGCCATTTAGGCGTTAAATCACTTTATGCAGCCCTAGTCACTCCTCCCTGCATCTGACTTACACATCCTTCCTAAACACTTCCTGTAAAGAGTCATCTAATGTTTATACTTCCTTTATTGCAAATTATGTTTAATGTATATTTTTTGTATCCTGCCCTGTTAATAGCTTGCTAGAATCTACAGAAGCCTCCTGTATGTAATGTGAGTTTAATTTAAAGAGCATAAGATATTAAGTTCCATCTGATTGAAAAGGAAAACTTTTTTTATGCAGGCTGTCAGTCACAGCCAGGGGTGGTGTAGCTAGGGCTGCATAAACAAACAGTGATTTAACTCCTAAATGACAGTGAACTGAGCAGTGAGACCACAGGGGCATAATCTATATACCAAAACTGCTTCATTAAGCTAAACTTGTTTTGGTGACTACAGTGTCCCTTTAATAAGTCGGTTTCAGAAACCGTTTTGTCAACCAATGATAATTCCTCTTCTCTAAAGTCACAAATTGTTCTTTAAAATTAGATTTCAGAACAATGCTCAATTCTAACCTCTACTAGATCAAATAAGATACGTTAATTCCTCTGATACTTTAATATCTAATTACAAATAAATAGCACAATACAGAACAGGGGTTGGAGACCATTTAATGTAAACTTTAGATTATATGATACAGGCAGACCATTGTTTGCCTGTGGTTTTGAAATTACCTCCAATTTTAGGCAGCACAGGGGTGATAGAGTACAGCTATGCCATTCTCATCTGTAAAAGAAAAGTTATACAAAATAAGCTTTAAAACTAAATTTAGTTCAAAGTACACACATTACAATTCCAATATCTCAAGTGAAATCTCGGTTATTTCTACATTGTATTCCAGTCCTCTCTGGAGTTTGATGTGAAATCTCTAGATGGACCCCATTTTCCTCTAAGCAAGGTTGAGGGTAGTTTAACGCCAACAAATTGACAACTACAGGCAATCCGAGCCAAATGCATGACAAAAAACACGGAAGAATTGGCTGTGCTGAGATGATTAGGACTTTACCTTTCTCATAGTAGTCGTATGCGGAGACATACTGGGGCTGGAGATTCTGCACAAAGTTGGTTATCTCGACTTTGAAAGAGAAGTGTCTAGGGGCATTGGTTACCTGCAATAAGAAGAGATTAGTTGACGATGTCGGTGGAGGGACGTCACTAGCCAGATTTACATCACACAAGACTAATGGGACAGAATTCCCCAGGCACCTCTAACCTACCGCCCTGGAGAATTATGCTGCTTGCTTAATGATTTGAGCACAAAGGATGTACAGTAAACAGAACCTTCAGAAAGTACCTTGTAAGTCTAAAATAAAAGAGACTGGTCCAAACAAATCCAGCCCAATGGTTGGACTCTGTAGACCTCGATCAGGATTAATACAGGGCTTGTAAACACCGGAGGGAGTAGAATATACAGCAATGTGTTAACGATGCCTCTTACCAACAAACCAATAATCTATTTCTATCAGTAAGGCAAGTCTAGCCTTTGGAGGCAACGTTTAAATTCAGGTCTGTTCCAGTTTACCCAGTAGAAAGATTTTAAATGTAAATTAGCTAGATTGACACAGTTTACAATACTCACAGATTCCAGATACACAATCACGTGATTATTTTTTTGTTCTACTTTAGAAACCTTATTCCTCAGCTGTGGAGAGAATACATGGTTTATTATAGATACATCAGAAAATGGATAAGTGTGTAAAAAGATAGAACACATGATTAGGTGAACGACAACTTCACTGTGCAGCCATCTGACAATTATCACACCACATTCATTTCATATAAAATCTGCGATTTCTTACCTGAACGATCGACGAATACACTGTTGCGTATCCAGATGGCATTTTAACGTCTACAATTGCCATGTTTGATTGATTCTTGCTGCCTTGATAACTGCAAGCCAGTACCAATAAAATATATGAGAACAGATTCGCTTTGGTGGAGCTTGCTTAATCAGATTTTTTTTAGCAAATTTTAGACCTGGCCAGGGGGTACAAGCTCTTACAATTTCATTCACAAGATAGCGGATCTGGAAACATTGTTTCAGTCAGCTAGGCTTCCAGTCTGACTGTTTTAGTATGAAATTCACTGGAAACTACTACTTTAGTGAAAAAAATAAAAATAATTCGGTTAAATACCTGACAGCCAGGTCGATCGTGTAGGTATACGCCACGCCATTATCACAGCTGTCGGAGGAGGTATTTACAGACAGCAAGAAAGCTGAGTTTTCTTCAGATATGGGGGTGTTGTATTTTGTGGTGACCTGTGAACAGAAAGCACCCCACACCACGGATAAATGTCAGCTAATTTTACACAACTCCATTTACTCCAGATTCGGTCAAACAAAACAAAAAAACTTTAAGTTCTTATAGAGGTGTTACTAGGCAGCAATGTAAAGTCTTTACTGGAAAGAGCAGCGTTTACACTGTTCGACCTGCAGGGACATTAAAGCTGCAGTGATTCTGGTGCCTACAGGGTCCATTTAAGTAATACTTGCAGTCCAATAAGGACCGTGGAACACACTATTTTAAGGCATTTGCAAGTAATTCACTGCACATTATCCCATTGAGATCTTTTATGGCCATGTTAAGCTGTTAATGGTAAGGGATAGAGAGGATTCTAACCTCAGAAGAAGGTTAAAAATTGAGCTAGCAGTTTAATAGCTACGTCTTCTGGCAGCTCCATGAAATGTATTAGTGATAAGAATCCCTACCATTTTAACTTCTGGCCCATCTTCCCAAGCTTTTATCCCCTCAGTTATCAATATGTGGGGCTTAAGTCCAAACCATTTGGAGAGGGATTAGATATTTATCTCTCAATCACAGATCGGGTAAATCTCATGCACATCAAGACCATGACAAGTTTCACACAACAACATACAAGGAGAAATAAGACTACAACTGCTAAAGGGCATGCTCAGATTTTACCTGTATTAGACAGCTGCCTGTCCCCTGAACGTCAAGGCTGTAGTTTTGAGTCTTGTTATCCAGGGGCTGTTTCTGGACCAGAAGCCGGTTTGTCTGGTCAATGTTGAATGTAGCAATACCCCCATTGTCTGAAGACAATTGCACCTGCTGTGTTGTATTGTGTGTAGGAAACAGGAAACCAAAAGCAGCGAGGGCCTGCACAGCCACTACAGTGTCCTGATTTAAAACAGAACAAAAACAGATTTTATTTTAAATCCACATGGTTTTACTACGATATGAGCCAAGTGAAAATCTTTATCGTAAGCAGACTAAGTCAGTATATAGATGTAACAGCTCTGTATGAAGAATTTAGCAATATACTCCGACACGAAGATGTGGGAAGAGATACCAATCAGACTTACGGCTGTAGAGCTGTATCCTCCAAGTGAGTTTTGTTGTTTGGCAAGCCACCGTACCATCTGGGCCATGTAGACCTTCTGTTCCTGGGAGTGATTGGTGCCATATGCCATTCCCAATAGGATGTATGCAGCAATCTCTACCTCAGCGGATGGAGATTGAACATAGAAGAAAGGGGTATTCTTGGCCTTTGGTTTATCAAGACGCTCCCAGTGAATGGATCCATCTATGGATTAAAAAGTTTGAGGTCAGGAGAGCAAAACCTACACATCACACAGAATCGTTACAAAATTCTAAAAAACTATATTGTTTTCTGTAGTTCAATGGTTGGGCTCTGTAAGACAGGTCAACACAATTGATACCAGGGGTACAAAAGTTGTGTATCTTAATAGGTCACATTGTTTTTCTAACGTCAAATATTTCTACACTTGTTGACTGTTAAGAGGGGGAGGGTTCTATAAAACCACCACACCAGCCTTTATGGTGGTTTGTAATAGTCTGTGCATTGCCATGGAGGCTCTGGAGGTACAAGTCATAGCACAAATCTGGATTAGACATAACATGTAAATCCTGGCCAAGTGTCTTAGAACATGTACCCTCTTCAATGGCCTCTGCCTGCAGCTGTTGAATGAGAGCTTGGTTACGCTCCTCGTTCCCAGCGACTTTGAAAGCATAGTACATAACTGCCCGGTTATAAAGACTCTGTTCTGTTCTGGAAGCGTCTTCAAGGCATTTCAGGGCTCCGCGTAGTAGAGTTTGCTGTAACAAGAACAATGGACAAATCAAGGAGACACTACTACACAGTGTGTGCCAGAGGCCAACCCAACACAGTATGGAACATTGATTGGCAATTACTAACAGGTTATAGTATTTTTAGCAACATTCTCAGTTAGAGGCTATACTAAAGGGGAAGCATTTTGTATTATTTCTGGACAGTAACCATTGCATTTATTTCTTAAAATTAGGAGTGCCCTCTATGTCCTTAAAGGGACACTACAGACCCCTAAAGCACCTTAGCCAAATAAGCCACTTCTACCCTCTCACCCCCCAAAGAATTGGTACTTTTATAAAAATAAAAAATTAAAAATCTGGTTACACCATCCACATAGAAGTCAGACAACCTGTCCTGTTACTTCTTGGTTTGTTTAGCTCAGTTAAGATAACCGACCTCAAAAAAAAAAAAAAACAAACACACACACACCTTTTTTCGTGTTGTTTCCCATTGTAGTTCGGGAGCCAAACAAACCCATGAACTGCGGACCACCCTACTGACACATCCATCGTTTTCACATTATGGATTCTAAGTGGTCGGCTGCCGTTTGTATGCACGAACACGTGGAAACCTTTGGCAGCCATCTTGTTCGTACGAACCCAGGCAGTGGTGTTTGCTTGTCGAGTGCATGGAACTAAAAATCTATCGTCAATTTGCAAACACTGCTGAACTTTGATGAATGCCTGCTTTGTTGCTATTCAGGTCAGGAGAGTGCCATTCAGTAGGCTTGTTCACATGAACTGGGAAATTGCTACTTAGGAGACAGAATATCGGTTCAGTATTTTTTTTGGTTTTGGACTCCCAAAATTGAGCGACTGCTACCACTTTTCTTATGGAACCATCTCGGGCAGAAGCAAAGTGTGGGGTTGGTCAAAAGTGGACTTCCATAGAAAATGTAAACCAAACTGATTTGGTTGCTTCTTGAATAAGATAGGCACTCAGATCAGGGCTATCCGGGGAGGTGACTTGAGGGGTTTCCATGGATTTGGGGTGTTGTGAAATTCTTGTATTTTCTGTACAGTTCGACCCCATTATTTCTGTAGCACACAGGCGTTTACAGTGTGTATAAATTCTGAAGCTTTGCCTGCATTAAACAGATCTACTCCCAGCATTCAGTCTCAACTAATGTGAGGGAGAGGAAAAGGCGATGCTAGCGATATTCTCTGTAGGAGAGCTTGATCCAAGGTGGGAAGAGATGAGACCCCAGCCAAGCTACGGCGGCTAGGGACTGAAGTACTTCTAGAGTCCCGATGATCGCTAGGAAGCGTGGTTGGCAGAGATACTCAGGCAGGCCGTCACACCTTTAATACAAAGGAGAAAAGGAAAACAGTGCAGTCCAGGAGCCTGGATGCAAGTCAAGGGCTTGTTGGTTGCACCCCTGTAATGGAGCTCCTAGGATGAAGACAAACCTTTAATGGTGTGAAAGGAGAAATATATATATATATATATATATATATATATTCATTCCCAGTGAGGGAGACTAGAGGCAGGGGCTCCACTAGCATAAAATAGTTATCACCATTTGATCCAGCGTTTCATTTGTTGTCTTTGAAAACCTACCTGCTCCCTGTTTGGTAGTATCGCCATGAACAGGACTCCATTCTGAACAGGGACCACCACGAAATCCCATTTAGAATGTGATTAATTTTTTTTAATGTATTCTCATTTTTATGATTTTTAAACCATAATAAATCTTGAAAAAAAAAAAAAGTTTCTGAAGCTGTATTGGCCATATTGTGGGATACACTGCACAATTGATACAAGCCTATAGATTAAAGGTGAGAGCTCCATATAGGATGCATATAGCGGAGGCTCTTCACCTAATGTTATCACACCATTTAAGCTTTTAATTTCCCCAGATGCAATCTTAACCCCTGCAGGGCTGAAAAGAAGAAAGGATGATTACAATTGAGATCTGGATGGTCTATTCTTGGACCAGGTGTGCTAAAAGTCGTTTATATGTAATAAGGAAGAGTACTTTTTTTCCTGTAGGATTATATGCGCTTTGAGAATTGCATTACCGTGGTGAAGGCGTTATACATATTTTCCACTTTTTATTCTCTAATCGGAGAGTCTTTTCTAAAAACTCATTTATTAGTCAAGGTATATGCATAAGAGGCAATCCAAAAAAAAAAAAATACAAAATTAGCTAAATGGTGCAACAGGGATGTTATCTAGAGTGTTCGGTCACAGGGAATTGGGGGAAACCAGAGGAAAATAATTAAGCTGTTTAATATAGTATAACAAAAATGTAATGTTATTACTACTAGTATGGTGCTGAAGTCACCGGTATCAGACTAAATGGATAATTAGAGGGAGAGACAAGGAGATTGGAGAATCTAATGAAACCTAAAAAAAAAAAAAATTATATAAAATGTTCCCCCTTAGATCACAGCGAGACCGTGGACAAGTCACTAATGTCCACCTGAACCATGTCTCCCTATTACAGCTTGCCAAAGAAAGCTAAAACTGTGACAAACCACCCTAAAAGATGTCATAATGTGATGTCATAGTGGAGGTGTAAAATAAAATAAAAAAATAAAACACGACATGCGTTTTGGTTTGTCAGCGCAGTCAGGAGCATATGCCCTATAACAAGGCTATTGTTTGAGAGTATTCCCAGGTTTACTTTTGCCCTGGGGTGTTCAGTTTATTCTTGAAGACACCTTTCTAAGTAACCCAAACGTTGCACCTTTAACCCCTTCCCGACCGTGGACGTATCTGGTACGTCTGGCAAAAAACGTTCCATAATAACCTTGGACGTATCTGGTACGTCTGCAGCTATTTTGAGCTCTGGGAGCTCTGATAGTATTGCAGTGATGCGCTGCATGTGTGGAGTGCCTCGAGGGGTCCTGGCACTGTGCATATATAATATATATTAAAAAATTAAATAGAAAATAAATAAAATGATCAATATTAACCCTCCCCCCCATCCCTTTCTAAAGGCAGTGAATCATGGGGCTTCCCCTAGCATGCCGCATCATAAGGGGCAGGCTGGGGTCATCCAATCACAGCTTGCCCCATTAGCAATTTCATCCCAAGTGTGTTCCCCATTTCTCTGATTAGTGTGGATCTGCCTCCCTCTCCTCACTTGTGCTTTAGTGAGAGAAGGAGAGAGATCTGTGGTTTAGCTAGAGAGATTTAGGTGTTTATAGGTAGGGATTTGTAAACTCTTGAGACCCAAAGGCTCTTTTCAGAGCCATTAACCCCTGTCTTGCCAGTGATCACTATAATCACTGGCTTTTGCACAGCAGTAATTTTCTGCTGTTTGTGCATATTTTTTTTTTTAGGGGTTCATTTTTTGTGAATTTTTTTTTGAGACCCAAAAGCTCTTTTCAGAACGATTAACCCCTGTCCTGCCTGTGATCACTCTGCAGATCACAGGCTCTTGCACAGCAGCACTTATTTTGCTGTCTGTTCATTTTTTTTTTTTTAGGGGTTATTTTTTTTGTGACAGGTCACTAAGTAAAGTGATTGTGATCATGTCACATGGGTCACGGAAGTCAACCAGCGATGAGCAGTCATATGCCACCCTTGCGCTAGAGTCTGACGCGTCTATGTCAGACTCGGACCCTGATTTTGACCCAGCCAGGTGCTCAGATACATCATCACTAGATACAGTGTCTGCTGCAAGTGATGCATCTAGTGATGTATCTGTGCCTGCTAGTCCCCCTGCCCAAAGGAGATGTGCTGCTACAGCTGGCAGAACTGCTGAGGAGTGGGAAGTGCCTCATCGCCAGAGGCCAGACATCCCATCATTTACTGCAAATCCTGGCATTAATTTGGATGTCCCAGGATTTAGCCCTCAGCAGTTTATGGAGGTGTTTCTGGGCGATGATGTATTGGGGAACATTGTCGCCCAAACTAATTTATATGCCCATCAATTCAGAGCTACAAATCCTGACTTTTTTGGCAAAGCAGCAATGGGCCCCCAATCGATGTGCCAGAATTTAAAAGATTCTGGGCATTGACTATGCTGGTGACATCATAAAGAAGCCCTCCATCCGCTCCTACTGGAGCAGTAGCCCCATCTGCTCTACCCCTATTTACTCCCAATGTATGTCGAGGAAGAGGTATGAAATGATTCTGCATTTCATGCACTTCAGCGACAACAGCCTGTGTCCCTCTAGGGAGCATCCCCAGTTTGACAGGCTGTATAAAATCCGCCCCCTGATTACCCACTTCGCTGCCAGGTTTGCAGAGGCTTATACACCTGGAAGGAATATATGCGTGGATGAATCCCTGATGAAGTATAAGGGAAGGCTGGGATTCAAGCAGTATGTTCCTTCCAAGCGCTCTAGGTATGGTGTAAAGATGTATAAGCTCTGTGATAGCGAGAATGGGTATATTCAAGCCTTCCGGGTGTACGAGGGAAAGGATAGCCACCTTGACCCTCCAGGTTGCCCAGAACATATGGGAACCAGAGGCAAGATTGTCTGGGACCTGATTTTCCCCCTCATGAACAAAGGGTACCACTTGTATACTGACAATTTTTATACAAGTGTCCCTTTGTTCAAGCTACTGTACTGTTTTGATACAGTAGCTTGCGGCACAATTAAAAAGAACAGCACAGGTTTCCCAGGACAACTTGCACGCACCCGGCTACGAAGGGGGGAGACCTCAGCTCTGCGCCAAGAGGAGCTGTTGGCAGTTAAGTACAGAGACAAGAAGGATGTGTACCTTCTTACCAGCATCCACACTGAGGGGACTGTGGAGGTCCCGGTACGTGGCAGAGCTGAGAGGACAAGGAAGCCAGTGTGCATCAAGGCCTATAACCGGCACATGGGTGGGGTTGATCTGGCAGATCAGCTGCTGCAGCCCTACCTAATTATACGAAAGACAAGGGCCTGGTACAAAAAGGTTGCAATCTACCTGATGCAGATTGCAACCCACAACGCTTTCTTGTTGTTCAAAAAAGCAAACCCCAGGACGCAACTGAGATTTTTACAGTTTCAGCTCCAGATCATTTTGGGGATTTTGTACTGTGATGCACCTGCTCCCCGGGCAGTGATGGGAGAGAGCAGAGTTGGGGCTACACATTTTATTTTTAAAATCCCCCTACTTCGGCAAAGCAGAATCCCCCCCCAAAAAAAAATGCTGGGTCTGTTCTAAGAAGGGGCAGAGAAAAGAGTGTATATTACTGGAGATTGCCCTGGACAGCCTGGACTCTGCATTGGCGACTGCTTCAAACGCTACCACACGCTGGTCCATTTTTAATTTATTTAACATTTGCCCTTCAGTTTTTTTTGTGGGGGGGGGGGGGTTGTTACATTTACCCCGTGCATGGGGGGCATGGGTGTCCTAAGGAGAAGCCTTGCAGAAAACCACCTGGGGTGTGTGGCAAACCCTGCCACTAGAACTGATTATTCTGTGCGAATGAAAGACTTTTCACCAAGGGAATAACTCACCAAATGGACTTTCTTGTTATATTGCTGTTTTAGGTGAATGGCCGAAACGGGGTGGTCGTGTGTTGCTAATTAACGGACCGATACAATGTTGCGAGGAAATTAAGTGCCTGTATGTGTGGCCGCCATTTCGCATACTGAACACGTGTCGGCGGCCATCTTACGCACGAACAGCGGTACTTGGTTGTCGAACGCCTGGAACTCAAACCGGGCATTCGACTAACCAAGTACCACTGAGACCTACAGCATGCTCCGACAGCACGAATCAAACACACGAACGCCCCGGCGTTCGGTAGATAGATTCCCCTAAACGAGGGGATTTGTGCAAAGGCTTGCAATCGCATGGATGGCTGTTATTCGGTATTTTGAATTCACTGAAATAGACCGACTGCAGGGCCAGAATTCATGGAACTGTTTTCGGCTACTGAGTCCCTGCGGTCGGTCAAAACTGTAACTGTCTAACTCCCGAACCCCTGGTCCGATCTGGGTGAATTTCGAGTATGTTGCTCACCCAGATCAGACCTACCAGGGGACCCCTTATTTGTCCCTGTATTTAGGGGACATCTAGAAAGTGGGGAAAACGGTCTTCACTAATCTGTTTAAGGGCTAATCTAAGGGGAGGAGAGTGGGGGGTGACCGGGTTGCAATTGGCTACTGTAATAATTATGAAAGTTACCTCCCTTGCATGGGAGAAATGCATAAAAACAGACCTGTGATTAAAGCTAACAATTGACTCGCAGACTATGTGTCGTCTAGTCCTTGGGGAGGTGGATTATGCTGTGTTCCTGTGATTTTGTATGCTGAATCTTTGTTCCCAGCGCAGAGCCCTTGGATTAACCCCTGCTCCTCCGCTACAGTGTGTTCTTGCAATAACCAACAGCGGGCTCTCCTAAATCAGTCAAAAAGCCGTGTGTGTGAAAATGAGGATTGAACAGTTACCTCCACATGCTCTCAACTGTTTTATTTATTTTTTTGGTCTGGCTTAAAAAAAAAAAAAAAAAAAAGTTGCATCAAAGCACTCCACATGCAATACCTTGGGGTGTCTACGTTTCAAAGTGTGTACCCTTTCGTGGCAATCAAACTGGGGTATGTGATAAGCCCCAAGCTAAAGATAGGCCTATCAGAAGAAATACTCTCAATTTCAACTCAAATTAAAGAGTCATACCATTGTAACCATACCTTCCCAAAAGCCTGTCAAGCCTATGCATGGGGGGCATGGGTGTCCTAAGGAGAAGCCTTGCAGAAAACCACCTGGGGTGTGTTCTTGCAATAACCAACAGCGGGCTCTCCTAAATCACAGTCAAAAAGCAGTGTGTGTGAAAATGAGGATTGAACAGTTACCTCCACATGCGTTCAACTACTGCAGGATGTCAACTTTTCAAATACATGCATGCTCATGTCAAGAAAATACATTGGGATATCTGATAAGTCCCCCATAAGGAAGATTGGCAAACAAGATATGTACAATTTGAAAAACGCATATCAGACATTTTGCTTTGCACCCCCCAGTGAACCCGACAAACATATGCATGGGTGGTATCGCTGTACCCGGGAGATGTTGCCGAGCACATATTGGGGTGTCCTTTGGCAGGAACACCTAACAGGAGGTTAGAATTTATGCTCAAAGTAGAATGTGTGAGTGAAAAAGGACATCACAAAAACGTTTGACAGAGACTGGTGGTAGAATAAGTGCATGTAAAGTGTTGAAATGCCACCATGTGAAATGCCCTAGGGTGTGTACTTTTCCAAAACATACGGTTTGACGGAGGTGAATTACATTGGCTGGCTTCAGAAATGTTCCAACTGGGACATGGGGGCATGATGGCCAGCTGTGTTTTATGTCTCATCATATTTCACTTTTTTTATTCTAGTAAATCATATGATATGATGAAAATAATGGTATCTTTAGAATGAACATTTAATAGTGAGGAAAACGGTATACAATATGTGTGGGTACAGTAAATATGTAAGAGGCAAATTACATCTAAACACAGCCACTGCAGAAAAAGAGCCCTGGTCCTTAACGGTAATACAATTGAAAAATTGCCTGGTCACTAAGCGGTTAAAATTGTATTTTACAAAAATGATTGTCCAGGTGGAGGCTATAAAAACACACATTCCAGATCTCACTTGTGACTGGTTACTCACCCCTCCTGGGTAGTTTGACTGTAATAGTGTAGAAACAACGTACGCTGTGAAACTGACGTAGTCTTCAGCACCTCCCTGAACAGAGATTGGAGATAAAGTGAACAGATTAGCTATATGGAGGAAGTAAGTGGTCAGTGCACCATTTAGTATACAGATAATATATGCACAAAACATTTTATAATGAGGCAGGACCCCAAAAGCTTTCAAACTTTGCTGAACAAGACATTAGACCCCATAATGCATCTTGGACGTAAAAACCCAAGGGCAGAGTACAGAATATTTGATAGAGTCCTAACCTCAATATATGAGGAAAGGGATTTAGGGGTGATTATTTCTGATGACTTCAAGGTAGGCAGACAATGTAATAGAGCAGCAGGAAATGCTAACAGAATGCTTGGTTGAATAGGGAGAGGTATTAGCAGTAGAAAGAGGGAAGTGCTCATGCCATTGTACAGAACACGGGTGAGACCTCACTTGGAGTATTGTACACAGTACTGGAGACCGTATCTTCAGAAGGATATTGATACCTTAGAGAGGGTTCAGAGAAGGGCTACTAAACTGGTTCATGGATTGCGGGATAAAACTTACCAGGAAAGGTTAAAGGATCTTAACATGTATAGCTTGGAGGAAAGACGAGACAGGGGGGATATGATAGAAACATTTAAATATATAAAGGGAATCAACACAGTAAAGGAGGAGACTATATTTAAAAGAAGAAAAACTACCACAACAAGAGGACATAGTCGTAAATTAGAGGGACAAAGGTTTAAAAATAATATCAGGAAGTATTACTTTACTGAGAGGGTAGTGGATGCATGGAATAGCCTTCCAGCTGAAGTGGTAGAGGTTTACACAGTAAAGGAGTTTAAGCATGCGTGGGATAGGCATAAGGCTATCCTAACTATAAGATAAGACTAGGGACTAATGAAAGTATTTAGAAAATTGTGCAGACTAGAGGGACCGAATGCCGTCACATTCTATGCGCTAGCAGTTTAAGTGGATCTCACAACATACTTGCCTTTAGTGCACTGTTAAAGAGTAGTCCGGATGGCTTGAAGCAGCCAGTCTGTGCATCAATGGTTCTCTCAAGGACTAACAGAATTCGATTCTGAACAGCTTCATCAACAAAAACAAACCTTTTAAGATTCTCAAAAGTCCAAAACATTTGTGCATCCAACCTATGAAAAAAAAAAAAAAAAAATTTTTTATATATATATATATATATATATATATATATATATATATATATATATATATATATATAATATTTTAGTTGGTGGTGTTTTAGAAGTGTGTTAACGGTTACATCCCCTTGTTCTTGAAAAATTATAACACCTCCAGGATTACTTGCAGGGCAGGTTTAAGTATTTTTAAGGTCCTGCATTACACAATAATTAGGAAATTCACTACTCTGGGCTGCAAGTTCCCTAGAAACTTTTTGGATTCCTGAAGACGAATGATTGTCACACAGTTTATTAATAATCCCTGACCCACAACCACCAAAAGCACTGACCCTGGGGCATTGCTAGTGAAGGGCTCAGAGTTGTTTCCAGAAACACACAGAGTCCCATTTAATGCCAAGAGAAGCATGGCCTCCAGTAACAGTTTGCTACAGTGGCAACTTAATGCAGAAGTTACAACACCGTGGGTTAATATCGGTGCAGTGTTTGTTAAAACAGCATGGCTTGGGATTAATAAATAAAAGGATTACACGACGAGTGTCAGTGTGATTCTAAAACACGTTTGGGTATTTTCTGGTCTGAAGGTGTGCTGCTATTGGGCTGGTTTTAGGAGAAGCTTCAGTGTGTGTCTAAGTGACATAAGAGGAAGAACGATTGAGAAGCAGAGGAGGATGAAGCATTGACACCAAGAGACTAGTTCCAATACAATTCAGATGGTGTAAAAATCTTGTGGATTCTCCTAAGTCAGAAATGGTTATTCTACTTACCATGAACTGCTTGGAGAGTTCCATCCACCAAACACACTAGAGGAGCCATCAGAACGAACATAGCCAAGCTGCCTCTGGTATCCTAGAAAATAGAGTGGATTTTAGAGTTTGTTACAGTGTGAATTGTTGGGAAATTTCAGATGTCAAAAAAAACAAAAAAAAAAAATAAAACAAAACACACACCACAATCAAACTGAAGTCCTACATGAAAACAAAAACCACAAACACCACCACCCCCCCCCCACACACACACACACACACAGAGCTTCATAAAGTGCAGCAGTAGTAAAGATTTAGGTTTCAGGTAACCTGTTTGTTGACAGTTTACAAGATTGAGAATGACGGCACATAGACTGTTGGCACGGGGTAAAAGTTGCCAAGAAACCCATAAGTCATCATGGTGGTCAGTTAAGACAGTGGCCTTGAATGAGTTAGTCCTTAATTAGTGGTGAAGTATGAAGTGATTTAAGGCTTCTGATCCGTCGATCCAGAGTATATGGGGGAGGGTGCATTTCAAGGACTAAAGCTGGGTATTTTGAAAGTGAAGGTCTGTGCCAATAGGTATAAACATGATTAACCAGCATACAGAACCAAAGCCAACACGGTCAAGTCATTTTTCAAGAGCAACCCAAGCACTTTGGCATGAATTGTCCTCCCTGAACACACGTTTGGTGGAATCATTTTCATTGAACAACACTATGCACCATCACTGCATGTTATTAAATTGTAGGATTATATCAAGTTTCTCCACCCCTCCCCCCCATATGTACAGATGTTGGAACCCAGTTCAAAGTTATGACAGATCAATCCTTGATCAAGTGAGATTTAAGAAATGGGTCTCCATGATGTAGACAGACATGAAGACTGGATATACTTTCAGAAGTGGAGCAGAAGCAAAGCCATAACAACTTATTCAAAGCCTTTTGGTTTCAGGACCAGTGATTACACCAACATCTCACATTTGTTAGATATCTGGAAAGGAAACAGAACAAGTCTCACCAGTTTCCATGTAGCTAATAGCTTGAGCTAGAATGTCTGGAGTCAAATTGCCAGTGCTGTTTAAATAATTCACTATGAAGGGTAGTGGCATCAGCGTAGCCAGGTTCTGCTCACCACACCCAGTGGGCAACCGGATCAAGGATTTTAGGTTTGTTACAGAAACTCCAAATAAGTCACCTGCAAAAAGAGGGAGGTGGGCATTGTAGATGCTTTGGAGCAACATCCATCACAATCACATCTAGGTTAACAATGATCAATAGTACATACTTCACAAGCCAAAGGGTGGAGTAGGGCTACCATGGCAAGATGACAGGAACAAAAACCAAGTGCGACTACCAATTAAAGTTCAGCGCCATGGCCTCCATGTCTTAGTATGTTTACAGAGGAGCTAGTAATGATTTAACAGTGAGAAGAGCCAAAACATGCAACTTGTAACAAAGGGGACAGTATGAATGCATACTATGCTAAACTGTAAAGAGAGCATGTGCAATCTCTTGCCAACTTTAACCGGCTCGAGCTTAATCATATTAAGAAGTCATTTGTTTTATGGAGCAGCTCTTAACATGCAATGCACACAGCACCAGGTTCTACTTACCAACTATAACCAAAGAGGACTTAACAGAACCTTCAACGACGTTGGCTGGAAGCAGGATGCTGATGGGAATCTGCACGCTGTTCCCTAGAGAAAAGGGACATTCAATTCTTTAGTTGGAGATAGAGCAGCAGGACAATAAACTGCACAGATTTTAGAAGCATTAAAAAGGACAGTCTTACTATGGTTTATAAAATCCTGCCTTGTATGACAGGGTAATGAGTCCCAGGAAGGGATTGGTGTTACAATTCTTAATTTGAAGCATTACCCAAACCCCAAATCAAGTGAAAAGCAGTAAATTTAAGGAGTCCGTATGAATGTACCTACCTTCCAGGCTGACAAAGTTGCTGTAGGTTATTTCATCTTCTAAGCCCTCTGCCTTTGAGACAAAAATAAAATACATTTATTCATAGCTATAGTGTACCCTCCAGCAAATTACAGAATTTCATGGGGGTGTCTAGTGCTGCCCTCAGACACCACTACAGCCGTCACCAAAGCCTGTAGACAAACACAAACCAGTTTCCGGCTTGATCCCATTAGAGGACGTTATGTGAAGGAATCCTTACAGGACAGAGCTTTGGAATGGGAAGCTAGTTTTGTACATTGTCTTGCTTCAATGCTGCTCCCCTGTATAGTGTTACTTTGTGCAGATTCACAATACCTGCTATCTCAGATTTTGCCTTTGACCAGAGATCTTAGTTATTTAAGGTATTTTAAAGGGGTGTTGCTGTGGAGAGAAGTCACATGTTAAGATGATAGATGACAGAAGAATCCAAACACATCAGGGGTTTGAGCCTAAAACTAATTTGGTGACCCATCCTAAAGCACTCTCCTTGCTCCTCCATAAATCCACAACACCAAGCCAGGGTCGAGGACTATAGGGGATGGAAGGAGAGAGTGGGGCACAATGGGCAGCTAGGCAGAAACTTTGAGAGAAGGGCTGCAGATTTCTGTTATTGGGGGGCTAATTTCTAACCCAGTCAGCACTCCCCCCCCCCCCAAATCGACACTCATGGTTTATTGAATTTGGAGTAGTGCACGGGTAACTGTTACATCAGCCATAGATTGATACCTCCACAATAACGGTGTGGATCACAGTGTCCTTGCGGAATGGCTGACTGGTGTCACTGGCCGACTCATTGCATGTAGCGCCAAAGTAAGATGTCCAAGCAGTCACATTAACAGATACCACACCTGTAAGATAAATTTGAGAGTCTAGTTTTTTCCCCCTTAATGAAATGAGGGGGTTCAAAGCAAGCTAAGCTATACAAAAAAAAAAAAAAAATAATAATTTATTAAAATAATAGTCTGGCATAGGGACAAACTATATCTCAACCAGAACATATGATCAGATATCTACCTATGGCATTTGCCTTCATATCCCAGGAATATGAGGCTCTTTCATTGGGGCAGATGCAGATATCTTGCCCTCCATCTTTCAATGTTGCAGTGAACGCTTCAGAAGCTCCCAGCTCAATGCCAACCTAAAGGATTGATAACGATAGCAAATTAAAATAAAAGGGGATGACAAGTTATGTCAGTATCGTAAGACAGTATGCTGTACTGAGACCAATACATTGGTCGACAGTTACCTTGATACATTGTTCCAGGTAGCTTACTACAACAGCTTTAAGGACCAGAGTCTCTGTCCTGACAAAGGAATATGGCAAAGACAGGTCCACAAAGAACGGCAGTAGAGAGTTGAAGGTGGATGGCTGTTTGTTTATCCCAAAACCTTCATCCTTCGAAACACAAAACCCAGTGAACTGCCACTGGGTAATGGTTCCCGGTACAGTCTCTGTTATAGATGCAGTGCCAGTCTCACTAGGATAGAAAATAAAACCAGATTTAGCTGCAAACATGAACACTTTTAGTGCAGATAAGTTGGTAAAGGAGAAGATGTTTTATTTCAAGTAGTCAAGCCTGCGATCAAAGTAGATCATAAGCAGCTTGTGGTCTGGTAGTTTGCCATGATCTCCTGGTGGAGCCCGCTAGCCAGCCTCCTGGACCATACAAGATACCCTGCAAATTCTGGTCATGTGACCGCACGAACCAGAGACCACCCAGAAGCTTGGCAAGTCCAGTTGACACCTTGGTACTAGTTCCACCGCAGTGTTCCAATTGTTAGTTTGGGTGTCCTGCAATTCATACCAATGACCACGAGGTGGCAGCCATCGTTTGCATGAACACAGGCAGTAGTGTTTGGTCATCAAATGCATAAAAAACAAAACAAAAAAAAAAAAAAAACACACCTCCTGAACACCGCTGGACTTCCATCATCGCCTGTGTTCTATACAAATGAGAAGGGCACGGTTTGGTGGAAATGTTCCAACGAACAAGGTTAACAAGCTCCAGGGTAGAACTATGGATTCTGTTCATTTTTAAGCTACCGAATCTAGCCTGAAAATGATGACTTCCCCTGAACCGATCTGGGTGATTTTTGGATAGGCTGGTCCCCCAGATCAGGGGATGTAACTTGTGTTTCCATGTGTTTAAGGGGTACTTTTGTTATATTGCCCATTTCTGTACTGAGATAATTCGATAGAATATATATATATACTGAGGTAAGTCGCTCTCAGGCACAGGGGAGGAGTAGGTTAGGTGTTTGCTTGTAACTAGTCTTTCAGGTCCAGGTGGAGGGATTATCCTGTTGTGTGGGAGTGTTTGGCCAAATTGTATTAAAAGCAGGCCAGATTAAGCTTGTACTCCCAGAACTATTTGCCATCTGGTTACCGGGAGGGGAAAGGGCTAAGCACTAAAACTGTTCCAGTGATGAGGATTCAACAGGGAAGTCCTTTTAAGGACTAGAGCTCCCAGGACAGAGTGTCGTCCAGTGCCTTGGGATGGCTAGAGAGTTCCCATTTGGCTCCAGGAGGGAGCCGTTCCAGTGCCCCAGTCAAGCCACGGCAACTGGGCAGAAGTGCTGCCGTTTGTCCCCTGTTCCAGCTAAGAAGCAGTCCTTGGTGGAGGTACCCAGGGAGCTCTGTTACACAGCTGTATAGGTTTTTGGAATGCTCTGTACATTTGAAGATAACCTTTACCATAGAGTTGTATTAAAAAAAGTCTGTATCCCAGATTGTCACAGAGCATGGACCTTTTAAAAAAAAAAAAAAAAAAAAAATGTGCTTTCCAAAACAGTCCAGGAATTACCCAGTTGTGTTCAAGGTGTTAATTTAAAAAAATAAAATAAAAAAAAATTAAAAAAAATAAATAAAGTGACAATGGTAGGTGTGCCCTGACTAGTTTGGAACCCACTGCTTTAGAGGAACGCAAAGCTTTGTAAATTCTTTCCATCTGTGACCACTTGCAAGGACCAGAATGCGTTTCCTATGAAGTAGCACCCCTAGCTAATCGAATGCAGGCCTTGTTATATCTACTCACCCAACGGGTGTGATGTCAAAATTCCAGACCTCAGGGAACGTATTACGCACAGTGATGACAGACTCTGCTGAAGACCCACCTATAGACACATCTACAAAAAAAAAAAAAAAAAGTTAATTACGGAGTCAGATTGCTGGTAATTTAGGCATTCCCACCAATATCAAAATATGTTAAACGTTTACACATATTAGTGGTAGACAGTAATGCTAGTTCCCATCCAAACTAAAGAGGGACACTTTAAATTTAGGTGTGAGAGTGTGGCCAGGGTAGTTGAGACATTTTAAATTACTTCATTTACAGAACTAAAGTGTTATTTAAAACAATGTGTCTTATTTACACAGACTGATTTCTAGACACATTCAGTAGTTTAAAGACACATTACTGGGAGTATTATTGCTGTGGAGCTCTGTTATATACATTACTGGGAGTATTATTGCTGTGGAGCTCTGTTATACACGAAGACACATTACTGGGAGTATTATTGCTGTGGAGCTCTGTTATATACATTACTGGGAGTATTATTGCTGTGGAGCTCTGTTATACACGAAGACACATTACTGGGAGTATTATTGCTGTGGAGCTCTGTTATACACATTACTGGGAGTATTATTGCTGTGGAGCTCTGTTATAAACCAGACACACCAACAATATATAGCGCTCTTAGAAAAGCAGGGCAGAGGGATTTGGAACCCAAAAATAGGGACTGTTCCCATCTAAAACAGGGACACTTGTGAGGTGTGCATTTATGGTCCTGTCTCCACACCCATATTCTGTACCACTGACAATATTTGCAAATCGACGTGTATTTTCTCAGAGCCAAGTTATCTGGAATCCAAAAGGCAAAAAAAAAAAAAAAGCCTGACATTACAGAAGAGTTTGCCTAAAACAAAGACAGATTTTTAACATATCTGTATTTACCAATATAGTGAACTCTAACAGGCAAGATCGGTCATTCATTTTATATATGTTTACATTTTTCCATAGAGCACATTTGACAGATCACTAATATTAATATTTTAACATACAGACAATGTACGGGTACAAAGAGTAAATAAAATGTTAGCCCTTGCAGTGAGGCCACACGTGGAATTCTGATCAGCTGCAATACACATTGTCTACAATCTTTGCACTAACTCAGTGTGACATCAGAAAGAAGGGGGAAGTGAGGAGCCTGCTGACTACAGAGGTCTTAAGATGGCTCAGCTGACAGATTGTAGAACTGAAGGGGAAGAGGCTGCAGTCCCTGCAGGGAGTGATTGTTAGCTTGAGGATCGAGCTCAGAGAGCCAAGAGTAAGGTTGCTGGGCACCAGGAGAAGGGGAGTCCTGCACACGCCAACCCCCAGATAGCCTGAGAGGACATCATTCAGACCTGCCTTCTAGGGCATGCCTGCAAAGTTACAACAAGCCAGTCAAGAATATAAAAGGATAAAGAGAGAATTCAAATTTCTCATTTAAAAATCTTGACATGCTACATTTTAGTAACTCTTATCAAGTTTTTTTTTTTATTTTTTTTTTTATTTTTAGAGCACTAGACATTGCAAAGGCACTTCCTAAAATGTCCTCATGGATGAGACTCCACTGGACTGAAGCAGCTATTGAGGCTCTTACCACACCAGCAATAGGTTTACACAACTTTTATAAAAAATAAATAAATAAAAAAATAAAAAATAAAAAATTTTTAAAAAACCCACAAAAGTTTACCTGAGAATTCTACAACCTCCCTTCCAAGAGACGTTGCTGCAAGGGTCAGCACAGGAGAATTGTACGGACGGCCGTTGAATCTGCCACACACCTCTGGTTTATGCACGGTGGTGTTGGTTGCAAATACCAAACCGATGTCCTGAAACAGAATGGAAGGATGTTAACCAGGAAGCCACCATATAAGTGTTAAATGGTTAAACAAGAAAATGTAAAGCCAAAATACCTCTTGCATACAACCACTTGCATCTCAAAGACTGACTGTCCCAACTAGAAGTTATCCAGACGCTCCCCACATCTCCTTAAACCATTTGAAAGCTCAGCAGATATCAGACAAGTAAAACACCCCAGATACTTACACGGAACACTTCAAAAGAGTCTCCTTCATTCGGATAGCTTACAGGCTCGTAATATATGCCCTCAATAATTATTTGATTGTTCGAGTCGATGCAGGGAAGGGCAGGTGGGGCCACATTATAACCTGACACATAGTATCCATTTAAGCTGTTGTATCTCAAGGAGTTATACACCTGCAGAAAAATAAGATATATAGAGATAATATAAATATATATATAAAACCCTGAGACTTTTGGCTTTGGTTATGTTAGGTTTTGTGCTTACTCACAGTTTCAGCAGTAATCGACTGGTATGGATTCAGCAGAAGGAGGCTGGAATCAATGACCCGAAGCCCACACAGGGAACTGGGAGCTGCCGATACTTTGAGGTCTACAGTAGATCCAGGAATTCCTTTTTCAGCAGAAAAATTCATGGATACCTTAAGAGAGATAGAATAAAATAAGACTCCTGACCCAGTTACCGGGTTATGAAGCTCTATGACTTCGTAACAATGAACTTACCTGGTGCTTGAAACACTTCTCCACATTCAGCTTGACAGAGTCTGCAATGACTTCCCCCAGTAGAATCATGTACACAATGACATCTGCCCCCGGGGCCAGATCTGAAGACACGGCGATACTGAAGGTTAGTTCACCTTCCAGTGCTGTCATGAAGGAAACAGTATATTCAATGATCGTGCAGGTATGATTCAAGCTTTTTTTAGAAGAAGGAAGATAGTTAATATAAAAGTCTGCTATATTTGGTCTCATTCTCAGAAGATCGTTTTCATCTTATGCCTTTGCACCACACATACATAGTTGTTAGATCTTCCTATGCCCAATGCACAGAGGCCTACTTACCGCTACTTGAAGGTAGACTATGTTGACCATTTTGTACAATCTTTGCTTTTGACAGGACCTGCAAGTAGGTAGAAGCAGATAGATAATCAGAATTAAACATTTGCTTTTTATCCCCCTTTGATCCCATGTTCTGATGAATTTCCAGAGGAATCCTGTAGAGAGCAAACGTGCCATCCCTCATTATATAAATCCGAGTGGTTTTTCATTTGAAGACTTCCTATGGTACTTTGCTATAATGGGTCACCAGATCCATCTCTTCCCACAAATATCCATTCAAAAAAAAAAAAATTAAAAAAAAAAAAAAAAAACAGTTGTACAGACAAAACCCAAATCCTTGATTAACTCTGCAGATAATCATGCCTAGAGACATCTGATGGTCATGCTTACTTGACAAACCATAGCAAGGTTCCATCTTACACACCTGATAAAATACAGAGGGTCGGGCATCACCTTCTACACCTTCTGCACTGAGTACATATTGCACCTTGAGGTCATAGCTCTGTCCACAGAGTAGCTCCTCACGTGGGGCCTGCACCTGTATAAAGCTTCCAGACCGAGAATAAAACCGTGTGGCAGAAAAGAAATCATTGGAATAGGTTGGTGTTAGAAAGTTGGAGTCGTAGCACTGCTCGGTGTTCTTGTATAAGGCCTGCAGATAGAAGACAGGACATGTCCATTACAGAAATCAGACATTTAGCCATTGGCTAGGCCAGAACCATAAAGCCCAGGTTTTACAGAATTACTCTAGAGTTGAGAAAAAAAAAACAAAAAAAAAAAAAACCACACATTCCTTCTGTCCTCACCTGAATTTGAATTTCAGTTTGGAGAATGTCAGAGGTATCGATCAAATACTCTGCACTACCATCTGTTCCGGTGGTCAGGTTTTGGATAGGCACCCCATTCAGTTGAAGCTCTATGTTTTCACCACCCAGTGGCTGTCCAGATGCATTTACCACATTAATCTATGAAGTCATGGATTGAATAAGACATTTGTATAGAACTTTTGTCAATACAGAGTGTGTGCAATACTACTCTATAAAGTCACTTAGATCTTGAAAGCCATAGCCACATCGCCAAGTAAACCAAGGGTCACAACATAATCTTCACCTTTTTCAATAATTCTTCCTCCACCACCTAGAACTACTACTAATAAGATACAAGTGATTAAACTACCCCTACCTGGCTCAGGTGGAATACCCTTGCAGAAAATTAGAATGTACAAATGCCCAGAGACACCATGCTTCTATTTCCAATACGAAGGTTTGTCACTTTTTAGTTTAGATCCTAACAGAACGATGGGCCACAAGTCCTGAATAACAGGTGGCACTGCCATACTGGCGTACCTGCACTCAATAGATTCCTTTGTTCGACCCTGTGGAAGGAGGTTGTGAATTTTTCAAACCTGCTGTCACCACTTATGAGTGCAGTGTAAAGGGGCAGTCAAGTATTAGTAAATTAGTCCATGGACCAAGGAAAGTGTTCATTAATAGAGCGGAAAGAATTAAGAGTACAACTTTCCAGTGTTAAGGAGGGAATGTGAAATAGCATTTTCACTTTTGGCTACACCCCCAGAACCTAGAAACAACCTTTGTTGGTTTAGGGAGAATCACAGTAACTAGGGCTTACCCGTACAAGAAAATCCAAGCCACGTTTGTAATACCGACTCATAGCCTGGCGATCAAAAGAGACCCTCGATATCAGGTTGGTGATGGAGATATACTTTGTTTCAGTTATCTGGACCCCTGCAAGTAGAAAGGCAAAGAACTGCTCAGTCCAGGTTAACTATAACATTTACTCCAATAGGGTGATTCAGTTTGAGAGCACCATTTGTAATTAACATTCATGGCAAAAAAAAAAATAAAAAAAAAAAAAAAAGTCCCTTAAATCCCATGGCACCAAGACAAGATTTGCCTGACAGTCTAGAAGGATTTGAAGAATGTTTGGAATGCAATAAGGCCACAGAGGCCTTAAATTTCATTAGTCCTTTACAAGAGATTTGTTTTACTTATTAAATTGTTGGTTTTAGGACCACTAGGCATGTTGGATTTCTAAGACAAAGAATAAAGATTTTACCTGTGCCCTCCTCAGACATGGTCATCTGAAGAGTAAATGACAGATCGAGTCCGGAGCGATCAAGCTGGTAGTTGGAGAGATCAATGATGGTACTAAATGTCCCATCTGAATCAGTCTGTAGTGTAAAAAACAAAAAAAAAAAACGACAAATACATGACTACTTCAAGAATTACAAGTATATACACATTTCCTAAGAACCCTATGGGGGTGGGGTCACTGTTCTGTGCAACATGAGCGGGCACAAGACCTCGATTAGATCTGTATATGATGGAAACCATGTTAAAGGATAGGATTGCTGAACATATAAAAAAAACACATGGATTTCAAGACAACATGGGTTTACTTCAGGGAGATCATGCCAAACTAATCTTGTTGATTTTTTTTTTGGTTGGGATAACTAAAATTATAGATCAGGGTGGTGCAGTAGACATTGCTTACCTAGATCTCAGTACGGCTTTTGACACTGTTGCACATAGAAGGCTTAGCAATAAACTGCAATCTTTAAGTTTGGATTCCAATATTGTTGAATGGGTAAGGAAGTGGCTGAGTGACAGGCAACAGAGGGTTGTAGTTAATGGAATATATTCGAAGCTTGGACTTGTCACCAGTGGGGTACCTCAGGGATCTGTACTTGGACCCATTCTCTTTAATATTTTTATTGGTGATATTGCAGAAGGTCTTGATGGTAAGGTATGTCTTTTTGCTGATGATACTAAGATATGTAACAGGCTTGATGTTCCAGGAGGTATAAGGCAAATGATTTAGGTAAACTAGAAAAATGGTCAGAGTTGTGGCAACTGACATTTAAAGGACCACTCTAGGCACCCAGACCACTTCAGCTTAATGAAGTGGTCTGGGTGCCAGGTCCTTCTAGGGTTAACCCATTTTTTCATAATTATAGCAGTTTCAGAGAAACTGCTATAATTATGAATGGGTTAAGCCTTCCCCCTAATCCTCTAGTGGCTGTCTCATTGACAGCCACTAGAGGCGCTTGCGTGCTTCTCACTGTGATTTTCACAGTGAGAGCACGCAAGCGTCCATAGGAAAGCATTGTAAATGCTTTCCTATGAGACCGGCTGAATGCGCGCGCAGCTCTTGCCGCACGTGCGCATTCAGCCGGCGGGGAGGATCGGAGGCGGAGAGCTCTCCGGCAAGCGCTGGAAAAAGGTAAGTTTAAACTCCTTTCCAGAGCCGGGCGGGAGGGGGACCCTGAGGGTGGGGGCACCCTCAGGGTGCTATAGTGCCAGGAAAACGAGTATGTTTTCCTGGCACTATAGTGGTCCTTTAATGTGGATAAGTGCAAGATAATGCATCTTGGACGTAAAAACCCAAGGGCAGAGTACAGAATATTTGATAGAGTCCTTACCTCAACAATTGAGGAAAGGGATTTAGGGGTGATTATTTCTGATGACTTCAAGGTAGGCAGACAATGTAATAGAGCAGCAGGAAATGCTAGCAGAATGCTTGGTTGTATAGGGAGAGGTATTAGCAGTAGAAAGAGGGAAGTGCTCATGCCATTGTACAGAACACTGGTGAGACCTCACTTGGAGTATTGTACACAGTACTGGAGACCGTATCTTCAGAAGGATATTGATACCTTAGAGAGGGTTCAGAGAAGGGCTACTAAACTGGTTCATGGATTGCGGGATAAAACTTACCAGGAAAGGTTAAAGGATCTTAACATGTATAGCTTGGAGGAAAGACGAGACAGGGGGGATATGATAGAAACATTTAAATATATAAAGGGAATCAACACAGTAAAGTAAGAGACTATATTTAAAAGAAGAAAAACTACCACAACAAGAGGACAGTCTTAAATTAGAGGGGGGAAGGTTTAAATATAATATCAGGAAGTATTACTTTGCTGAGAGGGTAGTGGATGCATGGAATAGCCTTCCAGCTGAAGTGGTAGAGGTTAACACAGTAAAGGAGTTTAAGCATGCGTGGGATAGGCATAAGGCTATCCTAACTATAAGATAAGACTAGGGACTAATGAAAGTATTTAGAAAATTGGGCCGACTAGATGGGCCGAATTGTTCTTATCTGCCGTCACATTCTATGTATTTTTAGATTAACCAGGAGCAGAAGATTTAGATAAAGCACACAGTGCTGTTTTGGTAAATCCTTATTCAGGCTTAGGAGTTGTGTTTTGACTCTTCTAGTGTAGAAGTTGGCTGCAGAGCTTTTTGTCTATTTTCTTCCAATATGGGGACGATGAGAGCAATGAACATACTTTGCCTGTGATGGACTGGCAGAGCCCCTCTGGGTTCCGGTTGCAAGCATTTCCTGGATAATATGAGGAGTATCGTCTACACAACCTTCCAGTGATCGTCCCTGGAACGCCCTGTTCGTAGGTGTATCTGAAAATAATAAGATTAGGTATTAGGCTGCTAGAGTAGGGCAGCACTGACGTGGCAGGCTTATGCAATGTATGATCATATAATGTAACTAAATCCCCATTATTTTAGCCGAGGTGAGGTGCCATTAAATAAAACTGTGCTCTCAAGTGGACATGTAGTGGATAAGGGAGTGTGCTGGATCTGGTGTAATCTAAAGATCTATATATTTGCATATGCCCACCCAGAATCCTTTGCGGTAGGAACATCACTTCAAATTTGTGATTTCTGTGGGAAAAGCAAGTGCCAATTTATATTGTGCATGACACCAAAAGATATGAAGGTTTAAAAAAAAAAAAAAAAAAGAAATAAAGCACACCACACAATTACATTTGCTTGTTTTGTGATAAGCTGCAATTCATCTGCTCAGGTGACAGTTGTCATATTCAGAGCAAATTGATGACCAGATCAGTGTATGATATGTTAAATTCATGGTTCAGAGTGGGATATTTTTGATTGCATGGGGAACTTACTTTGCAGTGGTATTAACTGAGAGAGTCTTGTCAAGAACAGTAACAGTTGAAGGAGCCTCTATAGACACACTATATTTTGGTGGCACTAGAGAGGGAAAAAAAAATAAAAAAATTATATAGATACACAGAAACGAACAGGTTATACAGAAGTGATTTGAGCAAAGTCCATTTCACATAAAGATTAGATAAAATACATCCCCCCGCTTGTGACCAAGTGACATTAACAACGAACAGATGTACAAGGCCTTAAGAACATAGTTACTACAAAGGCTCTACAGTGGGAGAGTAGTGGACGTCTGTTAACCAACAAACCATTATAGCTGGTCTGTGATGACACCAGACAATTGGTTTCAACTCCCCCCTCCCTTACCATATTCTTCAACCGGAACCTCTTGGGAAATCTGTTCACCCGATTCTCTCAGAGCTTCAATTCTGTAATGTCCTAGACTTGCGTCAGAGAGCAGAGTAAACTCTAGCGACACAATGCCGTGGTCGGACTCCAGATTCAGCCACTGGAACATCCGATTCCCAGATGGATCCTACGGGAAGGTTTATAAATAAAACTCTTGAAAAGAGGAGATTGAAACTAGGATTCCTCAGAAAGTGAATACAAATAGACCGTTTATAGAACATTGAATAAAGGATACACCATAATACAGTAAGTAAGGTTTCCCACACTATGCTGGGCTGCATGGAGAGTCAAGAAAGTAATCCAAAGCCCCCATTAGAAACACATTGAGAGAGAAGGGCATTCATTTACAAAAATAGAATATAGACATTTCTTACCACAGCATAGACTGCAGAGTACTGGGGAGAGAGGTTAAACAAGTATTAGAATGAATGATGGCAAGTCAGGATTTAGAGAATAGCAATACACACTTCATTAAATGAAACTATTGACCATTTCAAAAGGCAGTGCTTGTGTTATATCAAGTGAACATTAAGGGGACAAGCAAAGACCCCCTGTCCAACGGAGGAGAACATACTATGTACATGAATGTAGAGTGTGGCAGTTGGTTTGCTTCATGACACATTAACATGTGACAGAATATTCTTGAGAGGACAGTGTGACCCAACAAAATAAATACCATTCAGAAAGGAAGAGAACTTGTAAATAGATTGCAGATCACGGCTTGTGGTCAAAAAAAAGAAATAAAAGGCATACAGTAACAGGTTCAAGCAGCGGTTCCTAAACTGTGCCGGAGTGCCACAAGATATTTTCCCAGTGCTATAATCATAGCACCAGGTAATGTGCCTCCCCTCACCCCTGCCAGCTCTGCAGGACCAGAAGGGAGATCAGAGATCTCCCGCCAGCTAGCAGGGGAGGGAGGAGAGAGGACTTGGGAGCTCTAACCTGTAGCTTAGCCAGGTTCTCCTTTCGCAAGCTCAGTTATCACAGCAATGCTCCAAATCTTGCGAGAGTGAACTCCTGAGGCTGCTAGAGTTCATGGTCACCACTAGAACTTCCAGGGCTTCACCATCAGACCACAAGGATTGCCTTGTACAGTCCCCCTCCCAGACAAGGAGATATAGATAGATATCCCCATATCCCCCTTACTATATTCTTCAGCCATAAATAAATATTTCTACATTTCCCATCCTACCACCACAGAAACAATTGAGCAACTCACCAATGCCACTAACCCCTACCACAGGCCCCATCCCAGCAGATCCCAGGTAAGTGGTCAAACAGTTCAACTACTTACTCTAATAGGGCACTGATGGCACCATAACCACAACAAAGTGCCTATATGGTTTCTGTAAATAATATACCAGTACCCCTCCCAAGATTAGGTTCTGCATCTGTGCTTGAACAGCAAGCATGTCTGCCTAAAAAAGGAGTCAAGTATATGCTGCTGCGCTGTACAGATATACAGAACAGAACATTTTTCACTTTACTTGGGGTGCCTTGGAAAAATAAAAAATAAATAATTTGGAACCACTGAGTTAAAAGATGTCAGAGCAAAATAAATCCTACTCACCTTCTCCTCCACTGGCTCCAGCTTCTGATTCAGGGAGATTAGCCGGACCCGCACTGAATGATGGGATGAGAAGAGTCCAAATGAGACATTGTGGTGGGATTTGAAAACTTACTGATCTTTAAATCACATTGTAACAGATTGCACTGGCACCAACCTTAGAGGTTAATTGGGGGGAGTTCTACACCTCGGGAAGGAGTCCTGCTGCCCAACTGAACAAACTTTACTTACTTTGGGCTCAGGTGACCTCACAGTGAATGAAGATCAGTTATAGCTCTGACACTGGGAAAGTAAGGCAAAAAATAGGCAGCCACCAATGCATGCCATGCCGCTCATATTTCCTGTACTAGAAGTGCCACTAATATTATACATCATCTCACCTGTATCACTAGGTTTGTACAATGGCTTGTCAGTCTGAACTTTGTAGACATTGCCCAAGGGATCAATCACCAGGCTCCTACGTTCATAAAATCGTAGGGTTGAACCAGTAGCCAAAAAAGTAAGGAAGACTGGGGCAGCCGACTTTATTTTGGGTACCTGGAGGGAGAGGACAAACTGATCAAGAAAAATGTAAAGCCCAGAAGGCAGACAAGATACGGACTGCTACAATCTGGGGTGTCATTAGATCAGGTTATGACAAATGGTACCATGTGGTTGTACAGGCAAACCGAGAGTCTGTACATTGTCTCCAGATAACAATGCCTTCTAAATCGCGAGCATATGCTGCCAGACAGGTCATGTCAAACCAACCTTAAACTCATTGCACTTCATGAGATCCGCAGCTGGGATTTCTTCATCAAAGATGGTGTAGTTCTCCTTAAAGACCTCAACCGTTGCAAAAACATGTAGACTTTCATTGAGACGGACAAAGTTAACACACACTGTGGCATTTTCATCACTCTTCAGCAGAACTGGAGTAGAAAGAGCATATTGCCTGCAGATATACAAGGTATCAGCCAGTGGGAAATAATACACAGAATGTTTTACAACTCCCGGCAGGTTGTTGGTTGAAGTCAGCTTTCTCAATGAAAAGAAAATCTAGTGTATTTGCGCTTTATACACACAGTCAGGTTACAGCTGCTCCTAATACAGAATCCCACACCTGGCCAGAAAGAAGAGTAAGCTTCTGACTTATTTACCAAGATTAGAGCTCTAGAGTAGGTTTCTGTGAATGTATCATAGTATTCCCAGCATTGCCCACTGTGTACTGGCAGAGCACCAGAATGGGTATTGTGTATCTTGACATCTGATGTTGCTTTGACCTCCCATAACACAAATCAGCAGAACTCAGACTGTGTGCACTGTGAAATCCCACTGCATGGTCAGTGTGGCCATAGCATTATACAGTACCTGGGAGGAGAAGGGGAATGTCAATTACACGTGAATGAGCTACAAGCATAGGCCAATATTATTCACGCATTATGGCACAACAAATAAAGGTTTTCTAGAGACGGTTCTCATGTGAGACAACATCCATTGCTGGGATAGAAAACATTTCTATAAATCACAGACCGCGAGTGCCCAGCCTCTGCCCTTCTGTGGGTCTAGAGGGCCCAGACAGCAAGTGCCCAGCCTCTGCCCTTCTGTGGGTCTAGAGGGCCCAGACAGCAAGTGCCCAGCCTCTGCCCTTCTGTGGGTCTAGAGGGCCCAGACAGCAAGTGCCCAGCCTCTGCCCTTCTGTGGGTCTAGAGGGCCCAGACAACTTCTACCCATCTGTCATTTTATAGGGGGACTAGACAGCACACCTGGTTTCTATCATCTATAGATTTATAACCCGCCCATTGCTGGTATTACAGAAGGAACAGACCATGCGCCCTGCTTGTCCATACCTACAGCTTTATTGAGCACCCTTTAATAGCATAGAACACTACAGTCTATAAGTAAAGCAGACATATTTTACTTTAGTCGAGAAGAAACGAATGCACAATAAGCCTCAGGAGCCCAATCTCTTACTTCATCTATAACCAGTGTATTATTTCCCCCAAACACCTTAGCCATTAATCTGTGCTCATTCTCATGGCTCCCATATTCGGTTTTTGTTTCCGTCTCTGATAACACCCTTTGTTAATGTGGACAAATCTCTTACGCAATGGGCTGAGTGACAGAATAAGAGCCCATGAAGAGTTCTTCTATACTATTGCCAAGACTATATAATGTCCCTCTGGCAAATAAAGAGTGAACTGTGCAGAATGATAAGTGATGGGGCACTGCATCCAAACCACTTGAGATGAAGGGGACTGGGTGCCTATATAGTGTTCCTTTAACTTTGGATACATTACCCTATATACATGTAAGCACATCGAACAAGGCCCTCACCCTCCTGTGAGTCAAACTCTCCTTGTTGCAAATACTTGATGGTTAGTCCACCCATTGTACAGCGCTGCAGAATTTGTTGGCGCTTTATAAGGAAGACTACAACGTGCACCTTTCTGTATCGTGACTATATTTCAATATTTGTCATTGCAACCTCCCCCAAAAAGCCCACAGTGATCTCTTATTGCACACGCACTAATCCTCTAACAGTTTTCTGCATTGGTAATATGGGTTTATAAACCTTTGTAAAGCACACAATACTTAGAAGGTGCCAGGGACAAGTTTGGAGTGCAGAGATTATCAAATGCTGAACTGTGTGAGAGCACAAGGACACAAAGCTTTAGACCTGCTAAAAGTCCCCAAAATACAGATACCCACAATGTGACAGCCCCTCCCAGATTATAGACAGGCAGAGAGTACAAGTACCCAGAATACAGTAGAGGGACTGTTTCCCAAACTGATCACCTATATAACAGACAGAGGTTAACCTAGCACCTGTCACGTGACAATGATAGCAGTCACAGAGCATCCCAACATGTGAGAGTGAGCAGTCCATACTGTAAGACAATACACACAGAATACATTGTAGCTAGAACCTGTCCCTCTAAAACATGATAGAAAATATGAAGCTCTCCCACTCACGGCTTTGCTGTCCCCCCATTGATGGCAGCCAGCAGGGAGAATCCCAGGAGCAGAATGGGACAGATCATTGTGGCTGCTTGTTACCTGTCAGCACCTCACCTCCCTTAGCTTTATACACCTGGAGGGGGGCGGGGACTTCCTGCAGGTGTGTGATTTGCAGCCAATGCCAGTGTCACAGAGTCCTGGATTAGTCAGGATACACAGACAGAGAGCTTTAACCAGCTTATTCCTGTTTTATAAACTGCAGCGTTAAATAATCTCCCTATGTTTCCAATATTGGGGTTTATCCACTGAACTGTGAATTGTGATTCATTGTCAAACAGACAGGAAAACATCAAACCAAAATACACAACTTGGGCAATAGGGCCCCAGGTGGATAAACAGGGAGTATAGGGCACCTAGGGGGATAAACAGGGAGTATAATGCCCCAGGGGGGATAAACAGGGAGTATAGGGCCCCAGGAGGGTAAACAGGAAGTTTAGGGTCCCAGGAGGGTAAACAGGGAGTATAGGGCCCCAGGGGGGATAAACGGGGGAGTATAGGGCCCCAGGAGGGTAAACAGGGGAGTATAGGGCCCCGGGGGGATAAACAGGGGAGTGTAGGGCCCCATGGGGATAAACAGGGAGTATAGGGCCCCATGAGGGTAAACAGGGAGTATAGGGCCCCAGGAGGGTAAACAGGGAGTATAGGGCCCCAGAGGGGATAAACGGGGGAGTATAGGGACCCAGGAGGGTTAACAGGGAGTATAGGGCCCCAGGGGGGATAAACAGGGAGTACAGGGCCCCAGGAGGGTAAACAGGGAGTAAAGGGACCCAGGGGGGATAAACGGGGGAGTATAGGGTCCCAGGAGGGTAAACAGGGAGTATAGGGCCCCAGGGGGGATAAACGGGGGAGTATAGGGCCCCAGGAGGGTAAAGAGGGAGTATAGGGCCCCAGGGGGGATAAACAGGGGCGTATAGGGCCCCAGGAGGGTAAACAGGGAGTATAGGGCCCCAAGGGGGATAAACAGGGAGTATAGGGCCCCAAGAGGTTAAACAGGGGAGTATAGGGTCCCAGGAGGGATAAACAGGGGCGTATAGGGCCCCAGGAGGGTAAACAGGGAGTATAGGGCCCCAGGGGGACAAACGGGCCCTATATAGGGCCCCAGGGGTGTATAGGGCCCCAGGAGGGTAAACGGGAAATATAGGGCCCCAGGAGGGTAAACAGGGAGTATAGGGCCCCAGGGGGGATAAATAGGGAGTACAGGGCCCCGGGGGGGATAAACAGGGGGGAGTATAGGGCCCCAGGGGGGATAAACAGGGGAGTATAGGGCCCCAGGAGGGTAAATAGGGAGTATAGGGCCCCAGGAGGGTAAACAGGGAGTATAGGGGGAGTATAGGGCCCCAGGAGGGTAAACAGGGGAGTATAGGGACCCAGGGGGGATAAACGGGGGAGTATAGGGCCCCAGGGGGGATAAACAGGGAGTATAGGGCCCCATGAAGGTAAACAGGGAGTATAGGGACCCAGGAGGGTAAACAGGGAGTATAGGGCACCAGGGGGGATAAACAGGGAGTACAGGGCCCCAGGAGGGTAAACAGGGAGTATAGGGCCCCAGGAGGGTAAAGAGGGAGTATAGGGCCCCAGGGGGGATAAACAGGGGAGTATAGGGCCCCAGGAGGGTAAACAGGAGTATAGGGCCCCAGGGAGGGATATAGGGCCCCAGGAGGATATAGGGCCCCAGGGGGTAAACAGGGGGGTATAGGGCCCCAGGAGGGTAAACAGGGAGTATAGGGCCCCAGGGGGGATAAATAGGGAGTATAGGGCCCCAGGGGGGGATAAACAGGGAGTGTCACGAATGCACCCCTTGCCGTGACAGGGAGTATAGGGCCCCAGGTGGATAAACAGGGGAGTATAGGGCCCCAGGGGGATAAACAGGGAGTATAGGGCCCCAGGGGGGATAAACGGGGGAGTATAGGGCCCCAGGAGGGTAAACAGGGGAGTATAGGGCCCCAGGGGGGATAAACAGGGGCGTATAGGGCCCCAGGAGGGTAAACAGGGAGTATAGGGCCCCAGGGGGGATAAATAGGGAGTATAGGGCCCCAGGGGGGGATAAACAGGGAGTGTCATGAATGCACCCCTTGCCGTGACAGGGAGTATAGGGCCCCAGGTGGATAAACAGGGGAGTATAGGGCCCCAGGGGGATAAACAGGGAGTATAGGGCCCCAGGAGGATATAGGGCCCCAGGGGAATAAACAGGGGAGTATAGGGCCCCAGGAGGATAACCAGGGGAGTATAGGGCCCCAGGAGGTGCAGAGCATGGGGTCATGCAGTGGTGTATTTAGGATTTGTGCTGCCCTAGGCAGGAAGGTTCTTGGGCACCCCAACCAACCCTTAGTTTAAATTTTCCCCACCCCTTCCATTCAAGGCCGCACTTTGACTGACACTCACTGACACTCTAATGCATACACTCATTGACAGACACACACTCTCATATATACTGACAAACCCACACATCCAGTCACTGATTTCACACACTGATAGACAGATACACACTATTACTTGGACACGCACTGACAGACGCACACTCTCACTGACAGACGCAAGCACTGACAGACGCACGAACTCACTGACCGACACATACACACTCACTGACCTACACATTCACTGACTGACACACACACATTCACTCACAGACACACACATTCACTTAAACACACACATACACATTCACTCACAGACACACACTCACAGATGCACACACTCATTCACTCACTCACAGACACACACACACATTTACTCACAGACACACACACACACACAAACATTTCCCCCAACACTCACAATTTTTTTAATATTTTTTTATTTTAAATCCAACCAGCCTCCCTGGGAGAGCTGGAGTGGATTAATTACCTGTCCAGTAGGGCTGCTGGTCGGGCAGGCAGGGATCGGACAGGCAGAGTAGGTGGCGAGGGAGCTCTGATTTTCCTGCTCAGGTCCCTCGCACACTGTTTAGTGATGCCAGGAGCAGGTCTGACGTCATATTACGGCTCCTGGCTTCATTAAGCGGCGCGGAGGGAGCTGAGCAGGAAGAGCTGAGGTGAGTATGCTCCCTCGCTGCCCGCCGCCAGCCTCGGGGCGGCTCAAAAGTGGCCAGCTCTTGAGCACCCCAGGACACGAGGCAAGAAAGGGATCTGCCTGGGCGTTTGGGGTGGCTTTTTTTTTCCACCCGCTGCAAAGTGCTGCCCAAGGCAGATGCATTGTTTGCATCATGTAAGATACGTCCCTGGGGTCATGTCACACATGGAGATTCATGTCATTTTCCACATTTATGTCTTGTTCAGCTATTTTCACCTTAAATTCACAACAATTTGCAGTTTAGTGATGTAGCGGATCCCTTGCTAAACTGTGGACCAGTTTACCCTATGATGTGTGTGCTGTCCTGATTTCCCTTTCCTGTATGTTTCCTATCCCAACCTTGTGTTTCCCATTGTATTTGTCAAATTACCTGCTCCCCACTCTCTCGAATGGGCACCACCCCACTATCCCCCTTTAGAATGTTTTTGTAGAACCACAAAACCGCAAGAGTAGCCTTGGTGCGTGCCGACCCTGGGTGGCGGCCCGTTCATTAGACAACCACTCAGCCTGATTTCACTGAACTATTTTGGGTAGGCGACTCATATGCGTCAGTCTAAACTATTCGCCTGTTGTGTTTTTGCTGCGTTTGTGAGATCTGAGTGCTTTTGGGATATGTTGGGCGTTCAGATCCAGGCTATCCAGGGATATAGTACATAGTACAGGGATATAGTTGTGGCTGCCAATAAATCAGTTCCTCTTCACCCTCAACATAGAGCCTCGTCTCATGTGTGGAGGGAACAGCTATATTCACTCTGGGGATTGCTATACTCATACTCCCTTGGATTACAACACGGTGCTACCTGTCTTACTCTCAAGATTAGGAGGTCTACCCACTGGAAGCTGGATCCTGGTCTTGGGTCAAGGGTGGGTGGAGCACAGTGAGACCCCAACCAAGCTGTAACGCTGGCTGTGGGGTTTACAGTGTTATGGTGTCTGGTGAAGCGCTTGAAAGTACTCCAAGGTACTTGGAAGCAGCGATTGGTGGAGGCACACCGTCAGGGTTGCCAGGTGGTCCGCCACAGTGATGCTCTCAGCCAATCACTGCTCTCCATTGCTTGTACAGATTAGTCTATATTGGGTCACGAGTAAGGTACGTGCCATATCTATGAAATGGAAAAATAATAATGAATTCATAGATATTATTTCTGTGTCAGGTACATAAGAGAAGATAGAGCCAAATGTTTCCATTTGGATTCAGGTTGGCCTGGAACAAAGGAGGTGGTCACTTATTATTTCTATAGGTACGCCTTAACTCCACCCCTGGGCAAGACTTCCACAGGGTATAACAAATAAAGAGAAGAGACAGTGCTGGTTAACAAACAGGCAGCAACCCTTTAAAGGGAATCCCTCCAAACCCTTTTAGAACAAGAAGAGTGAAAAAAATAAGAGCAAGGGCTGCGCCACAGTAAATAGTAAGTAAATATTGTCCAATTCCAATGATGAAGTAAATATAAAACCTAGATATCCTCACTGACGTCTTTAAAGTGCTGTCTACAGGGGCAAGGTCCTCGGACGTTTTGTAGTTCCACTTATATGTTAAATAAAAGAATATGGACAAACAATAGTGCAATATGTATAGCTCAGATGAGAACACTGGATAAAGATAATGGTAGAGAACTCACATTTATAAGAGCTCTATCCAGCTGTAGGGTAAAACGCGTATAGAGGTATAATCCCCGCTTGTGGGATATATGGTGAGTACCTCTCTGTCACTGGTGTCCAATACTCAAAAGAGAGGAGAAACCAGAGACAGCCAATAGTGCTCTCTGTATAACAATCTCAGTGGTAATTAATTCAAATGGTACTTACAAGTGGAGAGCAGACTTACTGCTCTTTGATGGAATGATCCCCACCTAGGATTTCTTTGGGTACAGGAAACTTCCAGGAATTTAAAACCAGGGTAATAAAAAAACAGGATAAAAAAACCAAAACTAGGATAATAAAATCTTTATTATGTATAATAAAATGTTTGGATACT